GATGGGAATACCAAGGAGGAATGTACATGAGTTTTAGCATAAGGCAATTAAATGTTTGGGGGGTTGACGATTGAGGAAAATGTCAATTAATACGCAAATAAACAAAATAGTCATTTGTTAATGATAGTGGATGTCGTTACATCCAAAGTTAGTAACAACAGCTAGTACGAAATTACAAAAGGAAAGTAAAAGCATCTAATGTGTTAATTACAATCTACCCCAAGTAGAGCGCATTTGTTGTCTAAGCTTCTCCCATTCTCCATTTTACTCATCAGAAGCAGTGGATAGTTCAATTCGCTCAACCTCTTGGGAAGCATTACGCCTTTTAGCTGTCAATCTAGCCATACAGTCATCCATCCTTGCTTGAAGTGCCCTCATCTCTGCAACCAGAGTCATCATCATCGAGTCTTCAACCATAACTTTAGTATAGATCTCACGTAAATTGCTCTTTGTCTTCTCGATTTCTTCAAGTAAAGACTCATTTTCAGCTACAACACAAATATATTAAGTCTTCTTGGCCTTCAATTCTATATTTTTGGTCAACAAAGAATTTATCTCTGAGTGGATGATCCTCAATGTTAGCCTGAGATCAAATGAAATTTTAAACGAGGGAAGCTCAAGTGCTTTAGCTACTATCTCACTTAGAAGATCAAATTTCTCTTTCTGCTTTGAAGTACTGGCCTTGTTGATATTCAGATCCATGAAAGAAACATATTCAAGCACAAGGACGACTGGCCGATAAAGAACGAGAAGCGACGCTTTCTTTTATTTGTTCCAAGAGGTAAATACATCTTAATCAGTAGTCTGCAAAAGAAATGTAGGTCTTAACATCCTCATGACAGTGAACAAAATAAAGATGAAAGATAAAACAAAAGTGACCTCATCACTAGCTTTCGGAAATTAGGGCACTTCACTGGCAGATGCAACCTCTTGTGGAGACTTTCTCTTGTCTGAAATAGTAGGTCCTGCCACAAAAGGCAAATCCGTGGAAACTTCTGCAGAATTCAAGAAGCAATGAATCAATGGCCAAATGGTACGATCAAGGGTAAAAGCAGTAAAGTATGTGTTACCTTCTGGTTCAGGACTTGGGGAGTCAACGCCCTGAGAAGATGGTAGCTCTTCAACTGGCTACGATGAAGACTCCGGGACTATGGATTTTTCTTTAGGCAAAATCCCTGCATTAGATGACTTGGATGAAGCAGCTTCAGTTAGAAATGATGAAGCAGGGGTTGCTAAGATTAGAGCCTTCGAATGAGAAGTTTAACTCTTCTGAGGAAATTCAAGTAAAACATTAACCCATGAAGGGTCATTTTTCATGAATAAACAATCTTAAATACCTTTCTCTTGACGATGAGAGATGTACCATCATCATCATCAATAGGCAAGACTGGTGAAGATGAGGCTGGTCGTTTATGACTGGAAGCACCATTGGCTGTACTAGCACAAGCAGGAGGAGAAGCAGATGGATGGGACAAATGTTTAGTGCGAGCAGGTGAAAAGGGACCCTTGATGGATACATGAGAGGCAAGAATGGGAGGAGTAGAGGAAATCCCTAACCGATCCAGCAAGTGGAAGGCACGGTTGGCATCAGTTATAAAGAGTCTATGTTTCACAGATGGCCAAAGTTGGTCAAAAAGAAAGTGAGTGACAAAACTAAGATTGAAAGGGACCAAGGAGAAACCTTTAGTCAAAAGGTTGTTACGGACATCAATAGCTTGTGTCTCAGTTTTATTTATGACATGAAAACGGTCTATCAAACTCTTAGAAAAACAAAGAGGAACAGGCCAATCTGGCCAAAACCAAGTGACGAGTAAAAAATTGGGGAACATATATCTCGACCCCAACTTTAGCATTTGTTCCAGTCACGATATCATGGAACAGCTCTCTCCCGGTCAAAAATTGAGCCCAAATGGGCAGGTACGTGCCCGCCTCATCCATGGTAGAGGGAAGTCGCACATAAATAGGAATTTGGTGAGCAAAAAAAGGAAAAAAGGAAGAAATTGAATTCAAATTGTAAAAGAATGTGAAGAATTCCCCAGTGGACATATCTATAGGGCTCAATTGATGGATGAATAGCTCATAATAATTGACCGATCGTGGAGAGGATGGTGGAGCACCAAGTTGTGGAAAGTATGCCCTCAACCACAATTGAGCGAGCCAAAGAAGCCCACTACCAATGGGAGATGCACCAGTTCTCAATTGAAATTGGAGGAAAGTCATGCCTCCATAAAAGGCAGCTAAAAATGACGAACAAAGATTCAAGGATCTACCACGTGCCAACTCATACGCTATGGGTAAATAACTCATCGAAGGTTTCATGCTAGGCACACAAAGGACATATTTACAGAGCCAGACCTGAAGAAAGGCTGCACGCTCAATGTGAGAAGGCTCAGAGCTGGAAGCAGTATAAAGGCCTTGCATGCCTAAATAGGACTCAGTAAGTTTTTTGTCAAAATTTGGGACAGTACTAGTGACTAAAATGCCAGGATAAATGATATCGCCCAGGGGCGGGAGATTTACTAGGGCTTCAACATCCATCAGGATGATAGACATTGGACCAAGAGGAAAAACAAAAGTATTGTATTTAGAAAACCAAAAACTCAATGCAGTCGAAAAAAGCACTGGGTCATAGATTGGGAGATGTAGTGCAATTTCTAGTAAGTCCGAAATCCCAGCATGATCAAAAATCGATTTGGTAGGACCATGTTTTACTAAACGTGCATGCCAAAAATAAAAAGTAGAATCAGATTTAGGTCAAGTATGAATACCTCGTTCCCGGGTTGGCTTTAAAGGAAACAGATTCAGAAATGGAAGATCTTGAGTACAAGGAAATAGCTAACCCGCCGTCGCTTTTCCGATAGATTCAATGTCTTTAAACGATGGACCCAGATAGAATTCATTGAGGTCAGGGTTAGCTAATGAGACAAAAGTCAAGTTTATATATGGTCTGGCAAAGAGGGTTTGGAAATCTTCGAAACTAAGGATGTTATCGGAAGGGATTCGTGGAGTCGTCATTTGCAACAAATACAGTCTTGGTGAAGATTCTTGAAAGGCGTAGTGAAGAAGCAAGATGATGAATAGTGACCTTTATAGAAAGCATGATGTAAAGACGTGAAGATAATGACGCAATAAAATGACATCTTTTGGGTTTATAGGGGTATGTAACGATTACACATTTTCAGATTATAGAAGGGTTACAGCCAAACAAAAATAATGATTGAAATTCTTGAGAATTTCAAGTATTGTCGAAAAATATAAGGAAAGAATATGGCAAAGATTAATAATTGGTATTAATTTTGCCATATTAGTGGGTAATTGTTGACATACAAAAAGTGTAACCCAAATTGAATAGTCCAAGGTGTGAAGCTCAATTGGGCTATCCAGGATGAAGGCCCAAATAAGACTATTAATGAATGCAGTAGAGGCCCACGAACAAGGTACCATCATCACTCAAACTTGCAAGACACCCAAGATTTGAGCGAATGGAGTGCCTTAATATCGCCCAGAGCAAATGCTTTCGTTCTCGCCCAAACCTTCGAATCTCCTGGGATCTTAGCAAACATGAGGTATTATAGTTATCCTATACAGCAGTTACTAAGCAACCTTATCAAACCCCACGATCCAAGAATCACGATTGTTGTCAGTTAAACGACAAGATTAATTGCAACAATTAGATACGACAGTTCCATGACAAGTCGGTCATCATGAAGAAAGTGGGTAATTATAGAGCATCAAGCAATTTTTCATAAAGAAATTATGAAGAGAGTATAAAAAGGAAGAGAAGATATAGAGGAAATTACCCCGACTCAAACACTCTCAACAAGAGAATATGTAATTTCAATTTCTTAGTTTAACTTTAATACATTTCTTTTAGTATCCGTGTGCTTGCGCCCCTTGGAGGCATTCTGTTTATTTCCAATTGTATATTTTCACCAATAAAACACCATTTTTTGGAATTTTATCTCAAGAGGTCTGTTCTCTACTCAATCGTCTGAACCTTTTTTAATTGTTAGCGACAACCCGCGCGAAACATTACTATTTCAAAATATATATTTTTCCAAAATTCTTATTAAAATTGAACCCAAACAAGGGATTAATAATTTTGATATAAATTAATGAAATATATTGAAAAGTGCATGAGAGTGGTGGATATCATAAATTAATTATTGATTTTGACTTTATTTTTATCAAATTACTAAGATACGCCTAACATGGACTAATTGTACGAGTAATGGTAATCGATTCTGTCGGGGTTGCAATCCCGTGGCGCCAGATGATACGCCAAAGGAAAGATGGAATTAAATGAGTCGTTTAATTCTATTTATCTTTTAAGAATAAATTCTGGTGTACAGAAATTATTTTCACAGGCGCCTTACCGGCCCCTCACTGTAGCTTGGGCTCCCCCCAAATGTATTTTTTTTTTAAAAATGTGGTCCCCCCTTGTGTGTAACCTAGCAAGGGCATGTGAAGCAAGCCTCTATAATACAAGCAGAGTTCATCATTTAATACCACATTGTTATTATCTAGTTAGATTGCAACCCCGATGAGATTAAATATCATTACTCCTAATCATACACGTGCATTAAATAACAAAACGGTCACATGTATATAACGTAAGATGATTGTTAGTAGTCGTCACTATGAATAGCATTATACATTCCATCTCTCGCACAAGTTAACATTTCTTATCAAAGATCCACTTTTTATGGTCATGGAGTTGCCTTAAACCTTTTTTTTCGTTTTTATTCTTTTTTTAATTAGTTTTTAATATTATTCTATGTTTTATTCTTGGTTAAGCTTTTTATTGTTTTATTCTTGGTGAAGCTTTACCACTGTCAGGAGTTCTGGGCAACTAGTATTTGTTAATTTCTCACTCCAATCATCACTCCCCGTTCCATTTTGTTTAAAGACATTTATAGACTTTCAGACGGGTTTTCAAGAAGTAGCATGAGAGTTCACATTTAGCTTTTATTGAGCGATAAACACACGTACAGTGGTGCATGGCTTCAAAGAGATCTACCACGGAGGCTAGTATCCAGATAAGAATTGCTGCAACACTCTTTCTCTTTTATATTTCAGTTGTTTATTGTGTTACAGACCCCAATGACTTAGCTGTATTAAATCAGTTCAGAAAAGGTTTGGAAAATCCTGCGCTCTTGAATTGGCCTGCAAATGGTGATGACCCATGTGGGCCTCCAAGTTGGCCACATATATTTTGTTCTGGCAATAGAATTACACAGATTCAAGTTAGGGGTTTGGGATTGAAAGGCCCTTTACCTCAGGATTTTAACCAGTTGTCTACGTTGCAAAATTTGGGTCTGCAGCAGAACCAACTTAGTGGGAGGTTGCCATCTTTTAGTGGTTTGGCTGAATTGAGGTATGCTTATTTGGATTACAACAAGTTTGATTCAATCCCATCAGATTTCTTTACTGGGCTTGTGAATTTGGAGGTGTTGGCATTGGATGATAACCCTCTCAATGCCACCACTGGATGGTCACTGCCTAGGGACCTGGTAGGTTCAACTCGATTGACGAATCTTACTTTGATGAACTGCAATTTGGCCGGTTCTTTGCCTGAATTTTTGGGAAATATGACATCTTTAGAGGTTTTGAAATTGTCGATGAATTCGGTTGTTGGTGGTATTCCAGAGAGTTTTAGAGACTCAATGTTGACAATACTTTGGTTGAATGGACAGTCCGGCGATGGCATGACTGGTCCAATTGATATAGTCGTGTCAATGGAGTCACTCGCCAGTCTTTGGCTCCATGGGAATCGTTTTTCAGGTAAGATCCCGGAGAACATTAGTAACTTAGTTTCTTTGCAGGATCTTAATCTCAATAGCAATGAACTTGTTGGTTTGATTCCCAATAGCTTGGAAAGTATGCCATTAGGCCATTTAGATTTGAACAACAATCATTTCATGGGTCCAATTCCAAAGTTCAAAGCTATCGATGTTACTTATAAATCGAACCCCTTTTGTCAACCTAATCCAGGAGCTCCCTGCACTCCAGAAGTAATGGCTCTTTTAGAGTTTCTTGATGGGGTGAATTACCCCTCCAGGCTTGTTGAATCGTGGTCAGGTAATGACCCATGTCGAGGGTCGTGGCTAGGAGTAGACTGTGATTTCAAAGGACGGGTCATTTCCATAAACTTGCCCAACTCTAATATTTCCGGTACATTAAGTCCTTCAATCAGAAATCTTGATTCTCTTACTCGCGTTCATCTCGAGTCTAACAATCTATCTGGTCCTATTCCAACAAACTGGACAGGGTTGAAATTTTTGACTCTGTTGAACTTGAGAGGAAACAATCTTTCCCCTCCTCTTCCAAATTTCAGCAGTAGTGTAAAGCTTGTCTTAGAAGGAAATTCTCTATTAAACTCAAATCAGACTGGAAAAACTCCTTCACAAGGAAGTTCCATGTCATCTCAAGGTTTGAAATCCTCGCCTGTCACATCTAATCCAATCTCCACTACTACAAATGGCTCAGTGAGAGGGAAAAGTTCCAACACTGAATTAGCTGTCATCGTTGCCCCTATTGCAAGTTTTGCAATTCTGATTTGCCTAGCCGTGCCTCTTTCTATTTATTTCTACAGGAAGAGAAAAGACAGATACCCTACTCCAAGTTCCCTTGTGATTCATCCAAGAGACCCGTCCGTTTCAGATAGTACTCTTAAGATTGCTGTTGCAAATAACACAAATAAAATTGCTTCTTCATTGATGGAGATTGGTTCAGCCAGCATAAACAGTAATCCATCCCATGTCATTGAGGCTGGAAATTTGGTCATATCAGTTCAAGTTCTTAGAAATGTAACCAAGAATTTTGCCCCAGAGAATGAACTTGGTCGGGGTGGTTTTGGGGTAGTTTATAAGGGAGAATTTGTTGATGGAACTAAAATAGTTGTGAAAAGAATGGAAGCTGGAGTAATTAGCAGCAAAGCGTTAGACGAATTCCAATCTGAAATTGCTGTTCTTTCTAAAGTTCGTCACAGGCATTTAGTATCTCTCTTGGGATATTCTATTGAAGGCAATGAAAGAATTCTTGTTTATGAGTATATGCCTAAAGGAGATCTCAGCAAGCATCTTTTTCAATGGAAGAGTATGAAACTTGAGCCTCTCTCTTGGAAGAGGAGGCTAAATATTGCCCTGGATGTTGCTAGAGGACTGGAGTACCTTCATACTCTTGCTCATCAAAGTTTTATACACAGAGACCTCAAATCTTCAAATATATTACTTGGTGACGATTTTCGTGCGAAAATATCGGATTTTGGTCTGGTTAAACTTGCTCCTGATGGAGAAAAGTCTGCGGTGACCAGGCTAGCTGGAACTTTTGGGTACCTGGCACCTGAATATGCTGGTAAGGATTCTGTTAATGTTTTGCTCTCTAGTACATGGTAAATATAATTGTTTATTGAAGCCAGGAAAAAAAAAACTAAAAATCAATTAATAACCATGGTAATTATAAGTTTTACTTCTTGTTAAAATATATCATGCATTACTGGTATTAAGGACATCATTAAGAGTTTTAGAGTGTCGTGTATATGATGAGAATCGTGCTTCTTCTCTTCTCAGTTATGGGTAAAATCACTACAAAAGCTGACGTGTTCAGTTTCGGAGTTGTGTTGATGGAGCTGTTAACCGGTATGATGGCACTTGATGAGGACAGATCCGAGGAAAGCCAATACTTGGTTGCGTGGTTCTGGCACGTCAAATCCAGTAAGGAGAAACTAGTGGCTGCTATTGACCCAGCTCTAGACGTAAAAGAAGAAACATTCGAGAGCATCTCCATCATATCTGAACTGGCTGGACACTGCACTGCTAGGGAGCCTAATCAACGACCCGATATGGGGCACGCTGTGAATGTCTTGGTTTCCCTTGTCGAAAAATGGAAACCGCTTGATGATGATACAGAGGAATATTGTGGTATTGATTATAGCCTTCCCCTTAACAAAATGGTGGAAAATTGGCAAGCAGCAGAAGGAAAAGACACGAATTATATGGACCTTGAAGACAGTAAGGGTAGTATCCCGGCTAGACCTACTGGATTTGCTGAGTCCTTCACTTCTGTGGATGGCCGCTAGAAGACTTTTGTTGCTATGTAATAGGTGTAGATAACATGTTTTATCTAGCTTGTGAAATTGATTGTATTCTAGAATTGTTGGTGTTTGTAGTTAATATTGAATGTTTAAGCTTAGACTATGTTGTGTAGGCTTTGATTTCAATCTTGTGAGATGTAGATATAGGTATGAAGTACACTTCTGTTCACTATTCAACTATGTAATTTTTATCGGCAGTTTGAAGAGAGAGATTGATACAGTTATCGTTCTTAGGTTCAATGGCTTTGAGCTTCTCCTTGACAATCGAATTACATATTGTACATGTGAGCATACATTTGATATTGTTGTTTAGAATAATGTTATCACCATTGATCATCACTCGTGTGACTCTATGTGGTAATGAGATCACTATCACATTATTCAATGAATAAAAATGCATTCCAACTTTATTGGCAATGGGTAACAATCCTATTATCACATAGCTCGGTGAAAATCACTCAAGATTTGATACCAACTAGAAAAGGTTTTATTTGCTGCTTCAATATTTTGAAGTCCTCGAATCGACATCAATCCTATTATCACATAGATCGGTGATAATCACTCTAGTTTTGATACCAACTAGAAAAGGTTTTATTTTGCTGCTTCAATATTTTGTAGTCCTCGAATCGACATCATCAAAAACCTCAAATCATTCGCCAGTGTATCCAAAAATTCACGTAGTATCTTTATCTGTTTTAACCTTCATTTCATCGGACAAGATACTGTATTCAATTATTATCATCACTCAATTATCAAAATTGTACTTGTGTCAGATTTTTGACCAAAAAAATATTGGAATGTACAAGATAGGACATGTTGATAATTAGATATAAACTAATAAATGTATTCGTTATTGATGATTAGTTTTGTATCTACAAACAACAAATAAGATTTATACCAATATGTCCCTTTTAAAACGATTTGATAATGTCTCGTGTATTTTTCTCCTTAAAAACCGCCGTAATTTCTGCATGAGGTTCAATTCAAAAATAAAAAAAGAGAGAAGAAAATCAGAAATAATGATCAAATAATAGATCTAATCCAAAGGGGAGTTACCATGCAAAAAGATAGGACCCTAATGTCCAACGCACATAAAATAAAGCCACATGTACATCTCACCAATCTCAACCATGTCTCCTTTTGGGATTTTGGTCTTTAAAAGATAAAAAATGAATCTTCAACCAACCAAAAAAACCTAAAATGTTTTGGATTTTGCCATTATGATGGAAAAATTGTAACAAATATAGTAATATAATCCCAATTGACAACAGATTTGATGGAAATGTTGACTGTGTTTAAAAGAGTCCAATGATGAGATGTCGCATGGCTTTATATCAAAAATTATGCCAACCATTATGTTACTGATGTCACATGACTCTTCATTATTGTACTGTTTTAAGTACAGTCGGTTTTTTCATTCGATCACATCTTGTCAACTAACATTATGTCACTTTATGTCAACCACTTTCTGGCAAAGTGACAACCAAAGCTCACCTCATCTGATATATTACACTCTAGCCTCATGTTTGGTTGATATTAATATTAGATTATGATAGTTTGAAAGTGGAGATTTAGCCTCTATTTGATGGTCATTAGTATATAAAAATGATATTTTGAATAGTAATTTTTTGGAGAATGTGTGATTAAAAAGTGAGGAATTTTTTTAGGTTTACGTACATAATTTTTTATTGTGTTAATGTGTGATTGAAAATAAATAATAAGAAATAAATTATTTTATTTTAAAAGGAGTCAAACATGAGCTTAAATTACAAAACATTGTCCAAAATTTAGAATGTTGCAGGGCACGACAATCTATCATTCACATGATCGTCAATTATCAGTTAAATGGGCCTTATAGTTGTCTCACTGAAGATATTTTCTCACTTCAGCATAATTCAGGACAAATAATATTTTGACTAACTAACGATTGATAATTGGGAGGAAACTTGTTCTTAGAGTCGTAAGGTGTCTACCAATAAAACTTATTTAATTAAATGTTAATTATTTAAATTGTCACTGAACTGTATCAAGTGTTATCACTTAATAACTGAACTTAAAATTGTATCTCAATAATCAGTGAACTATGCACTTTGTTAACCATCTATCACTCAAGCCGATACCATTTGTTAAATCTAACTGATTTTTACACATATCAAACATATTTCTTACGTGGATTGTGTTAGACATTCACCCAAATCTACTAAGCAAAGTGTGTTTACAAAATGAGATTTAGATCGCGTTTTTCAACATCTTTATCACTGAAAGAAGATCTCATTATTTCCCAATAAGACATTGAAAATCGCAACCTAAATCACATTTTGCAAACAAGCTTTGCTTACGTAGATTTGGGTGGATGTCTAATATGATCCACGTAGAAAATCTATTTGATATGTGGGAAGATCTGTTAGGTTCAACAAATTATGTCGACTTCAGTGATGGATGGATAACACGTTCAGTGATCATTAAGATACAATTTTAAGTCTAATTATTAAGTAATAGCACTTGATATAGTTTAGTGTCATTGAAATGTAATTTTAAAATCAATTATTATGTAGTAGCATTAGGTTGCTCCGCTCAGCTCTGACATCAACCTATTTATTCTAGTAAACATATATTTCACTTTATATAAGTCACATATTATAACAGAACATATAAAGCAAGTTCTTCTAATGTTACACGGTGTTGGAAAGTTTTTGTGTATGATTATTGACTATACCAAGTGTTACTACTTAAAATTGAACTTGAAATTGTATTTCAACGATCGCTGAACTATATCAAGTGCTATTACTTAATAACTGAATTTAAAATTATATCTCAATGGTTATTGAACTATACACTGTATTACTCATCCTTCAATCAAGTCGACGTCATTTGTTAAACTGAACGGATCTTCATACATGTGGATTTATAGTTCTAAAATGTATAGCTGCAAAATTCGTCCTATGAACCATTTTTCCAATTCTACTATGATTTTATAGTTGTAACATTGAATTTTAGTGGTTATATAACAAGATGGAATTGCATACCGAAAGATGGCTGTATATTGTTTTGTAGTGTTAATTAAGTGCAACAAATGACATTACACATGACATCCAAAATTCACGGGCATAGCAAAGGTTTGCAATTAATATAGCAAGTTTAGCTCATAAAATGAAATTTGAGGCATAAGCACATAAGCTAAGCAAAGATTTAGAGCATGTTTGGTAAGACTTTTGAAAAATTAATATTTAACTTTTAATACTATGAAGTTGCTTCTGGACCTCTTTGAATAACTTTCTTAAAGTGTTTTGTCGAGTTAAAAGAGTTTTTAGATGAAATTGGTCCAAGCTGACTTCATTAGAAAGCTCTTTTAAAATAAACAAAAACAAAAGCAGTCCGAGTAAAATTTGGTAAAATCATAATCTCAATGTTCCTAAACAATCTTTCCCCCCTTTTCAACCATCATGCTCTTGGAAAGAAAATCTAGTTACCGTAATACCCAAAGCAATACCCAATCACGAAGATATAAATTAATAAGCAAGGCACACAAAACGAGCGGTTGATGACTACAAAACTTAAGAAAGAAATGGTCGGGAGATAGCTGCATGTACAAAAAATTTCATTAGTTAAATAAGATACCCAATCGTTGCATGTAAACAAAATTCAATAGTCAAATAAAAACCAACTCGCAAGTGTCGTATTTCCACTTTATGAATCTCCATAAATACACTAACAATTGTTAAATTTTTGAATTGCTACATACGTTGTCACTGCCTTAATTCATTTTTGTTTGAGAACAATATAGGCGGACAAAGTATCAAACATATTCTTCGTTAATTTTGCATATCTCAAAGGTTTGTTACCTATTTTACATGAAATGCCACTAAAATTGCACATAAAAATGTGCTCCTGTGGTGAGGCTCCGTTGGTAATATAGCGCTGTCTCCTCTTTCATCACTTTCTTCAAGGAATAGCTAATATCACCTAAAAACCCAAGCTATGGATATGTAAGGGTGCAGATCCTTTTCACATTTGACAAATATGTTTGTAAACAAACTCATGCTAGACACAGGCTACAAAAACAGATGAGAGACTGTGAAGCCAAGTCTTCTGATTTCTACGAAAAACTAACATGAAGCCCACAATGTTACAACTGTCAAACAACTCGCATCCACCATAGATTCACACTATGCTAGAGAACAACTACAATTAATTGGAGTTCAACGCACACGCACAAAACAAGGGACATGACTCGCTCACCATAGATTCAAGGCATGCACCCACCCCATAGCCATACCCATATCGAGAGCCATGATTCATTGTTATGGTGTAATCGCAAGTGTACAATGTTAATCAAATTAGTAAAGTGAACTTAAGAGTCCGAATTATCATTCCCACAAAATATGTCTTTTCTGATTGCATTTTGTTGTATTAACAATTTAATTATATAACATTCAGATGTAATGTCTTGAAAATTCTATGTATAGTGGTCTGTTTTCTGTATAAAAAACTGCCCACGTTCCTTAAGCTGTGGAATAAAAACTAAAAAAGAGACCCACTTTTTCTTTAACTTCTTTTTTTTTTTTTTTTTTTTATTTGCAGGTTGTTTTTGACTGATATTCGAATAATGCCATCTCGTACCACGTGTGCTACAACACCAATTTAGGTGCCGTTAAGTGATAGATTCAATGAAAGGTGGAATCAATTAATTAATTTAATTATATAACTCATTTAATGTCAAATTAGTATCACATAAACTGATATTTTAATATTACTGATGCTAAATAGCACTACTCTTGATATTGATAAGTAAGGTTTTTTTATTTATTATATATTTTGATAAGTAAGGTTTTTTTATTTATTATATGCAAAGTATATTTTTCAATCATTCAATTTTTTTTTTAAATATTGGAACTTGGAACACAAACTTAACTCACTGCTCATTGTTAGACTTGCAGTTAATTCATACTCAATTTCATGGGTGCACACTAATTCTTTAAAATTCAAATTAAATTATATGTTCTTTCAATAAAATAATTTTATACATGAATTTATAACTTTTTTTTTAACTTTTAATTACATCCTTCAAAAATAGCATTTTTTTTACAAAATTTATTAGCAAAAAACTTACATCAAATATACCCTAAGTAAAAAGGGTAATGACTCGCTATAAATTTGAAATTGTAATATAAAAATGGAATTTCAATTGCATTTCTAACTTAGCGGAAACTTATAGGAAATAATAAAATCTCACGTAAGAATTCAAACTTGTTGATTCGTTCACGTATGCCAAGAAAGGGAGAATATTGAGAGAAATCTTCTCACGAATTTTTATTATAATAAAATACAACTAAGTGTCATTAAGGAAGTGTATTCAATTGAAACTTTTGAAAACTTTGATAGATTTTTTTTAAGTGATGACTTTTGTGAATTTCGTGAATTTTTAGAGATTTGTATGAAATTAGTGGAAGTCTTTTGTAAACTTATAAACATTCATTTTAAAACTTTTAAAGACTTTTGTAGAACCTAAAATAAAAAAATATTTTAAAAAGAATAAAAATTTAAGACCTTAATTAAATAAAAGAATAATAATTATATATATTAAAAATAAATTTAATATTCAGTATTATTAATATAATATACCTTTAAATAATAGATAAAAATATATATTTAAATTCAATTATAAATTAGTCTATATAAAATTTTATAATTTAATTAAAAATAGATATTTTCAGAAAAAATGAATTAAAAAAGAAAAAAAATTATAAAATATAATTTAATTTTATCATAGAAAATGGAAATAAACAATAAGAGAGAAAAAGAAAAATAGAAAAAAAAATACAATCAATATAAAAATATAAATTTTAATCATAACTTTAGAATCCGTTTGATAGCAACGAATTTCATGGAAAATGTCACATTCAAGGAAGACGAATTTCACTTTGGCTGTTTGATTGCAACATGGAAATAAAAATCGAATTCCAAGGTACAACCACTTTAAATTGCATTTTCTTTGTGTTCATAGAAAACGAATTCTTATAGGTTTAGTGGATTTTTATTTTCTAACTAATATGTAATTAGAATTCATTTCCATCTTTACTTATCAAACGGGCCCTTAATGTTCATAGAATGGAAAATGAAAGAGAAATATTAAAAAATTACATATTAATTTTTTTTTAAGTCTCCTAAAATCTTGTGATTAATGAAAGATATATTTTGAGATTTTATTTTAGGGCGTGTTCGGAAATTGGATTAAAATTGAAAAATTAGCCGTTATCGTTGACTTTTATTAGACAGTGGGACCCAATAAAGGCCATATTTTCAATTAAAATTGGATTTTAATCGTGGGCAAACATGCTCTTAGTACTTTCTGCTTGAAAGTTAGCACCATGAAGACTTTTATAAAAGTATCTAAAAATCATAAAAATCTGAATACCCAAAGATTTATAGACATTTATAAAAAAATTTAATTGAATACACCGTGATTTGAGTAATGCTATTGATCCCTACTATGGATGAAAACACAGTCTACGTAGCGTCAATGTGACATTAAATGATATGTGAAATTAAATAAATAATTTTATTTCACATTTCATTTAATCTATCATTTAAAGACACATAGACTGTGTTTCCATCCCCACTGGGGATGAATAACATTACTCGTGATTTTTAGAGACTTTATAAAAGTTTATAAAAGTTTCAATTGAATACACCAATATTTTTAGAGAGTCTCCAAAAGTCTACATTGAAGACCCCTAAAATTTTTTTAATCCCAAAAAATCATTAAAAGTCTCAATTAAATACACCTCCCCTAAATCTTATAACTTTTATTTAATGCAATAACTAAAATTTGAATAAATACTAAAATCTAAACTCCAAAAAATGACAAATGTTGACCCAAAAAAATGTGTCAACAGATATCGGACTCACGTTGTTACACGTGGCAGAATTTCGACAATGATCGGACCGGAGCTCCAGCTGTGTTTCGATGAACAATTGTATGTAAAATGTAAAACAACAATTTCAATCATGGAAAGTCTCTATAATGTTTTCCTTCTATTTCAGATTTTGCCCCTTTTACAATGAAATTGTTTCACATATATATAGAAAAATGTAAATGGGTCATATGGGCCTTGTCCAAGCCCAAAGCCGAGGCTCATTAGGCTCTCAACCGAGGCACCATGCAAGTGGATGAGGAGAAGAAGCTGATGCACTTTGTCCCGAGGCTCTTCACAACGAAAACCTCCAATCCGAAGCTCACTTAGGCTGAAGCTCATGCTATCTTTTTTATGACCCCCTAAGTCAATGCCACGTCGGCAATGTGAGAACCTTCGTATCATGTGCGTGCCACGTAACCTTGCTTCTTTAGACCTCGAAATCGAGGGGTAAAACATCTTATCAAAATGGGTGTCAAACACTCCCTAAAATTGGATTAAAATTGAAAAATTAGCAGTTATCATTGACTTTTATTAGACGAGTGAGACCCAATAAAAGTCATATTTTCAATTAAAATTGAATTTTAATCGTGGGCAAACATGCTCTTAGTACTTTCTGCTTAAAAGTTAGTACCATGAAAACTTTTATAAAAGTATCTAAAAATCATAAAAATTTGAATACCCAAAGATTTATAGACATTTATAAAAAAATTTAATTGAATACACCGTGATTTTTGAGTAATGCTATTGATCCCTACTAGGAATGAAAACATTGTCTACGTAGCGTCAATGTGACATTAAATGATAGGTGAAATTAAATAAATAATTTTATTTCACATTTCATTTAATCTATCATTTAAAGACACATAAACTGTATTTCCATCCCCACTGGGGATGAATAACATTACTCGTGATTTTTGGAGACTTTATAAAAGTTTATAAAAATCTCAATTGAATACACCAATATTTTTAGAAAGTCTCCAAAAGTCTACATTGAAGACCCCTAATTTTTTAAATCCCAAAAAGTCATTAAAAGTCTCAATTAAATACACCCCCCTAAATCTTATAACTTTTATTTAATGCAATAGCTAAAATTTGAATAAATACTAAAATCTAAACTCCAAAAAATGACAAATGTTGACCCAAAAAAATGTGCCAACAGATGTCGGACTCACGTTGTTACACGTGACAGAATTTCGACGGTGATCGGACCGGAGCTCCGGCTGAGTTTCGATGAACAATTGTATGTAAAATGTAAAACAACAATTTCAATCATGGAAAGTCTCTGTAATGTTTTCCTTCTATTTCAGATTTTGCCCCTTTTACAATGAAATTGTTTCACATATATATAGAAAAGTGTAAATGGGTCATATGGGCCTTGTCCAAGCCCAAAGCTAAGGCTCATTAGGCTCTCAACCGAGGCACCATGCAAGTGGATGAGGAGAAGAAGCTGATGCACTTTGTCCCGAGGCTCTTCACAACAAGAACCTCCAATCCGAAACTCCCTTAGGCTGAAGCTCATACTATCTTTTTGATGACCCCCTAAGTCAATGCCACGTCAGCAATGTGGGACCCTTCATATCATGTGCGTGCCACGTAATTTAGGGAAGTAACAATAGTCCTTCCCGTTGATGTTTGCCCACGTGTCGTGCTACGTGGCCTTACTTTACTGGACCTCGGAATTGAGGGGTAACAACAAATATTAAAAATTTAGAACATAACGATGAAAATTAACATCCCTAATCTTCAAATTAATCCACAACAAATGAAATTAAATCCTAAAATTTTTTAACTCGTGTTTGGTTAAAATTAATTGTTGATTTCGACTTAAATTCTATCAAACATGACCTTAATAAAATAATATTATTCAGAAAATCAAAAGAAATGTTTTCGAAAGCATTGTATAAACGATGGAATTTGGCCATTTTGACTCTAAGTTGACATAAACTTCTATGAAAATCGTCACTTTGAAAAATTATTTCTTTTGACAACGATATCACTTTTCCATTAAATTATTTATTTATTATTATTTTTTTTTTGTTGCATCAATTTCTTTGATTTTTTGATTTGTCAAGCTTAGACATGCTAGTAAGTAATGAAAAATTGGTGGGCTTCTATCATGGGCCACCCACCACTACTAGCCCACTATCCGGGACGGACCCGCACCTAGCCAGCCCTCGTGGCCGCCCGTGCTGGGTCCATCGAAACCTTCAACTGTCTCGTCGTCTGTCGGGAGAAGAAAGATAAAGAAGAAGAGAAGACACTGTAAAATTTTTCCCCATTTCTTAATGTTTTATGATTTAATTACATAAAACCAGGCATTTTCTTTCATATTTTAAACAATCAGGTTTTCGCGTTTTTTGTTTTCATTTATCAGCTTTTTATCTTTTCAAAAAAAAGGTTTTTTTTATCATTTTAATTAAATAATCATTCATTTAAAACCTTATTTTATCAATTCACCCCCCCACACACCCCCTCACACATACGATAGTCTCTATCTCTCTCTCTCTCTCTCCCCCTCCCTGCCGGGGCTTCTTATCCCTGCCGATTCACAGTAGCGTTCGACGCTTCTGTGAACGCTGCAGTGAATCACAACGGCGTCGACTGTTGCCGATTCACAGGGTTGATGCTCAGCGTCGACACTGGTCTGAGCAGCGTTCGATACTGTTATGAATAACAGCAGCGTAGCAGCGTCGACGCTGCTGTGGTTGTGGGGGGTTGGGGTTTTTTTATTGGGTACAGCAGCTATATTGTCGGCGGTGATAGGGTGGGCGTGGATCTGGTGGCTACACGAGGTGGAGGTGGTGTCGATGGTGCTGTGTAGATTTGCTGTGGGTATGGCTGTGGGAAGCTGTGTGGTGGTGCGGGCGATGATGTGACGGTTGTTTTTTGTTATTATTATAGCGGTGGTTGTGGTGGTGTTGTGATGGGGTGACGATGGTGGTGCAATTCAGGCGACAACGGTGGTGGTTGGTGGTGTTATTGTTGGTGGGTGTTTCAGGGATTAGGGTCGACGGTGAATGAGACGAAGTATATGTGACCAATTATTTGGTCGTTCAGTGACCTGTGACAAAGTATTGTAGGTGTATTGGGATTGGAGGACGGGTGCAGCGGATGGGTCGAAGTGTCTGTGACCATCCATTTGGTCGATCTGTGACCTGTGATCGGTGACCATCTATTTGGTTGATCTGTAACCTCGAAATATTCCTGACCTACAAAATTTTTGATCTGTGACCGATAAAAAAATTGTGACCTAAAAATTTTAGATATGTGACCTCGAAATAATTTATGACCTACAAAATTTTTGATTTGTGACCGGAGAACAGTCGTCGGTGTGCTCGCGGGTCACAGGAGTAGTCGTCGGAAGGGGAGGTGGGGTGGGGTGGGTTAACTATGGGCGTGTTCGGTAGAGATTAAAATTGAAAAACTAGCAATTATTGTTGATTTTTATTAGACGAGTGAGACCCAATAACGGCCGCGTTTTCAATTAAAATTGGATTTTAATCCTGGGCAAACATGCTCTATATTATATTACAGTTAAATATTTAATTTAATATAATAATTTGAAATTAATTAATTAATTCATAAAAAACCTGATTTTTGCAATTCTAAACTTTAGGGCCTGATTTTTGATTTTAGGATAGATAAAGTCTGAGTTGTGAATTTTTCCCATGTTTCATTTGTTTAATTGTTTGGGCCCAATTATTGAGCCCAATCCTGCAATCCATGGTTGAAATATGAAAGTCCATTACCATTAGGTCCATTACCACAACAATTACAAAGCCAAATCAAATTCATTTTAGTCCGGCAGAGGGAGACCGACGACCGTGAGTCTGTGACGAGGGCGAAACTGCGGTGTGAGGGGGCCCCTGCCTGGCTGTGACTTGTGAGTCTTTGACACCACCGAGACAAGTGGACGGAGTCACTGTCACGGAGGACGGTGGTCGGTGGTGCAATAACCAATAGCTGGAGGCTGGTCTGTTGGAGTTTAGTCTCGTCCGTGGTCTCAGCCTCTCAGGTCTGCCGGTATGCGTTCTAACTTCTGCCTGCCTGTAGCCTGTAGGTATTACTTATTAGCTCAAAAATTTTGCCTTGCTATTTGCCTATTTCTTATTTGCTACTTGCTAGTGGCTAGTGCTTGTGCTTGTGCTTGTGCTGTTGTGAGTCTGTGACTTATGCATTCTGTATTTCCTATTTGGGTTCATTGACTGCATTCTGTACTTCTGTTTTTGAATTGTGTATTGTGAATTGTGATTTGGGAATTTAGGGTTTTAGAATGGTGAAGATGTTTATAATTTTGAATTGTGACCTGTGATTTGGGAATTTAGGGTTTTAGGAAATTAGGGATAAGTGAAATTAGGGTATTGTGAATTATATTTTCGGCTATTACGATTGTTCATTGTCAACTGTCATCGGTCACGTGTGTCCGCCCTAGCTGGACCAAAATGCTGGATTCGCCCCTGCGTTCCTCGGCTTCAACCCTTCAGCTTCAATGGCCTAAACCCTTATAATTTCATGACTCTTGCTCTTTTGTATCATGTATTATACCCAGAAATTCTGTATTTTTTTGATTCTTTAGTGCGTTAGCCTCAATGCCCGCTCGACGTATATAATCTGCAAAGCTCTTTTCTTCTAGGTAAGCTGACTATCTTTACTTGTTTGTATATTAGTTATTTATTGAAATTATGTTATGAACTGGTTTAAATTGTAATTTATGGTAAATACGAGATAATAGTATCCTGAAATGGGACATATGAATTCCATTTTGGGATCTTTAATTGAGTAATGGAATTTGAAGCTCTAATATTGAATTTTGAATTCCCATGCCCAATTGTGTGAAGCTTCCTTGCTGTGTTTGAATTTCCACGGACATTGTTCTTTTGTTTCTTTAGATAAGATGGCCTCTTGTTAAGTTTGCTGCTGTTTTATGCTAGCATGTGGGATAACTTTCTGCAACCTTTAATGTTTTCTTCTGATGTAAATTTTTCTGTTCAGATCTAGATAAAATCTGAATCCTTGACGATTTAATTAATATGAAACTAAATAAATAGCCTGGTATAGTTATTTGTTCACAGTGTTGTTTAATTCTTAGTTTATTTCGATAATTGATAATCCTCTCTTTCATTGTGTTAAGTTCCATATATCAGAGAGATATGGTGAGTCTGGTGACACAAGAAAACTATGCTTAAATATTATAGGTTTTTCTTCAAGTCATCTTGGAACCAGAGGAGCTTATTGATGAAATGTGGAAATAATCATTTTGTTTCCAAGAATTCTGACTCTATGTGCTTCATGTTGGTTGTATAGCTTGGTTTTCTTTGGTTATTTAGACTTTTTCCTATAGTATAATTCACAGAATTATTAAATACGTATAAAAATGTTTATACAATGGTATAATATTAAATGAAAAACAATCTTTTAGAATATTTTTTCTAGTTAACCGTCATATATATTAATGTGCAACATAACTCTCAAACTATGGTGGGTGCAACAACTGTTTGAAGAAAAGTTTAGGGCCTAGTTGCTATTAATAAAAGTACCCGCATCTTTCCTATGCCTCTTTGGTATGACACAGTTCCATTTTCCATATGTGTTGTATCAAGCATTGTGGCAAGTCCTAGCAGTTTTGAGTCCTTATTATGCTCGAGTGGAACTAGACTCTTACGATGGTCAAGATATAATTTTCTTATAATGAGCCTTCCCACACAGATCAAACTTATGGAAGGAAAAAAGGTGTTGTCTCAAAAGGGTATAGTTTTTTGAAGAACTCTATTCAACATTATTTTTTCTCTACGTTATCCATATCTTATTTATCATTTTCCTTCTAAAGACGACCTTGCATGCTTAATTCTCCAGAAAGATCTTCGGTTTTTGAGTTCTAACAGTATCACAAAAATGGCCAAACTTTCGGGGGGTTAAAAAGGTAAAAAATAAAAAAAAATAAAAAAATATCATGCCAAAAGGGTGCAGTGATGTGAAGCACTCTATTCAGCATTCTTTTGCCTTTACCATATCCATATCATTTTTACATGTCTTCTAAAGGAAACCTTGAATGTTAACAAAAAGAAAATCTAGTCTTATGTTTTTAAGTTCTAACAAGTGTATGTTTTTACCCAAATTGTGCATTGCTTAATATCTAAAGGGCATGGTTGTAAGTTGCATCATGTGGTAATAGGACTTATATATTTGTCAAGGTTTCTTCAACATCTACACATCACTAACTAGATTTCCTCTCCTTTAATTCACGACAATCTTCTTTCCAGTGTTTGATAAAAAATTGATGTCATGCGTATCAAAGAGAGATGTGGTGATAGAGAAAACCTATGATTAAAGTTCTTAAAAATAGGTTTTCATTATAGACTATCTTGGAATCAATGGAACTTTTGCCATGTGGAAAACCATTTTATTTGAAATGATTATGACTCCAAGTGCCATGTGGTGATCGTTTAGTATATTTTTTTTGGTCAATTAGAATTTTTCTTATATTAATAACTCATCTTGATCTTTATGCCTTGTTTGACTAATTTTTAAATGTTGAAACTTTATTTTTAACCACCCATTTAAATGGACCCACAAGTATCGTCCATACATCCACCATTTTTTTGTATGTGTTTATAAATTTACCCTTTCTAAATTCTTCCCAAAATGGAGGCTATGTATGAATGAAATTTTTCTATTTAGTATTAAAATTTAATCATTAAGAATGTTCTTCGAGTTAAATAATCCAAGAAATTAATGTGCAATGCAACAATTATTTGAAGAAATCTCAATTAGTGTTTTAATTCAATAATTCTCTCTCTATTTATATATTTACTTTCTAGAAAAACCAAGCAGAATATCACTACAATGGTGAAAACCAAAGCCCAATCGAAGAAGCCGCAAAAACGGGGAATAGACTTCAAAGTAATAATCTGCAACTCGTTAAATATTTGAAATTTAATTTGAGAAAATATCGATATCAGAATGTGATTTTGAGTTCTCCAACTTGTTAAATTGTTTTTTTGCAGAAAATAAAGAGGAAAATTGGTCGAAAATTGCCGCCTCCGAAAAATGCTACAAATACTGAAATCAAATCCAAAGCAATAGTTCTTCCGGAACAGAGTGTTGCATCTGAAAAGACGGGTTTAGCAGTCAGCAAAAAGGGTTTAACATTGAAGGAGCTGCTTCAGCAGACAAGCCATCATAACTCTAAAGTCCGGAAAGGTGGTGCTTTTTTTAAGTCCTTTAATTTCTGTTCCATCAAAATAGATGAAAATTCATCATACATTCTGTTGAAACAAGTGCCAAATCTATTAATGTATAAATGCAAGTAATTGTCACGACCATGTTTGAGAGTGCATTGAGGATGCTAGAACTATTATGTAAGCTTAGTTTTGTAAAGGTAGGATTTTTGCAACGCCATATGTAACACATTTTGTTGTTTGATTACAAGAAACTTGAAAGAGGGGGAAATGTCACAATGGTAATGCATGTATAACATCGTGGAATTGAGCCATATGTTACATGAACTATATTTTGTGGAAAAATTAGTTCGTTCTGAATGCTTTGATTGAACTAAAGGAAAATTTACTGCATAGATAACTATGAATGATTTGCCTTCTTTCCCTTGAATTGTCAACATTGCAATGTTGCTTCTATGCTTAATTGATTAATTATCTAGTGGTCAATGTGCTGACTTTTTTGTATTGTTTGTAGCCTGATTCATGTCTTGCTTGTTGATTTTGTGATGAATTTAACATGAAGACCCTGTTCTATCTCCAGATGCATTGATAGGTATTAAAGATATATTCCTTAAGCACCCTGCCGAGCTAAAATTGCATAAACTTGCTGTTATAGAGAAACTGCGTGAACGGATTGGCGATGATGATAAGTTGGTCCGTGAAACACTGTATCAACTTTTTAAGTCAGTAATATTCCCCGGATGTAAAGAGGTAATTTTAGAAAATATTACAGTTGTTGCATAGATTATATATACTTAATTTAATATGTTTCAAAGTGCAGATACTTTGGATTAGGATAGTTTTTGCATGCTACCATTTGTGTCTGATAGCTGTGATTTTCGGCAATCATACCCTGATTCATCTTAGGATTTTGCAAGTGATGGTCTTCACTGTAAACTAAAGATGCGTGTTGAATGGATCCTTTTCCTTCATAACTCTGATGCCCATGATAATTCAAGAAACTGGACTGCCAAAATGTCTTAGTTGATCATTCTCTTTTCTATTATGTGCATCTCGGTTTAAGATATATGTTGTTTTCTGCATTTGAAAAAAACCTGACTGCCGAAATTCTGTTGTGTTGTGGCTAGCCCATATTAATGGGGAAATGTGTACCTGACTATAGGTTGGATTTTTATCTTTTTCTATCCGGGAGTAAGGGAGGTGTCTCTGTTACCTTTCAAAAGTTTTGGTTGAATTTTTCAACTTATTTTGGAATTTCAATTTGAAGTTCTGAAGGATTTTCAGTGTAATTCCAGATATGTAGTTCTACACACATTCTTTTAAATCTCCGGTTGTTCTATTAATGGAATTTAAACAAATGATTGGGTCCTAATTAAACATCATTAATAATGTTATAATGGATAGGTAAATAATATAGAACTAATTATATGAAACACACTGCAGACAAACATGGAAGTGAAAACTTCCAAATGAGAAGAACATAAGATTAGAAACTGTCATGTAGAATTCATTCTCACGACATTTTAAAATAAACCATGTGCCCACTGGAAAAATCTATTCGGCATTGAATACAATTCACAATATAAATACCTTGGCTTATTTAAAAAATCGCATCTCTTTTTCTGCATACGCTACATTGTACTGACTCCTATTGGATCCTCCTAGCATTTCAGAGTCTGTCTATGCTTGTCTCTACCACAAAAGCTCAAATTCTTGAATTTCATATTGTAGCAGAAGACAAACCTGTATATGGAATATTTGCTAACATAAATTGTGTCCTCTATATTTTGAACTCACGTTTTTCTATTTTAAGATTTAAGTCCTTTATTGTAATACGGATTTCATTGGTTATATGCCATTTCAGCATTTCCCTTATATCCTATGTGCACATCTTGGTACTCCCTTTGTAATTACATAGTGGCATTTGTTGTTTCCATTTTGCGTACATTATTTCCTAGTGAGAAAGGTAGGTTCAAACTTTCTACTCTAATTATCTGTAGGTTTCCTTTTGTAGGATAACCAGGGACCATTGATTTCCTTGATGATGGCATACATCTTCAATGCACTGACCCATTTAGCAATTGATGTACGCTTGATGGCTTTCAGTTTTGTTGATCTTGTTGTCCAGTACAATCCCTCTTCTTTTTCCTTATATGCTGAAAAGGTAAAGTCAACGTCTTTTTAGTTGAATGTTTATTTACATAGTTATGTGGATGATCAGAAAGAGTTTCTTATATATGTTGAATTGTCGTGGAGGGTCTTTACCACCTTGTATGAGGTACTCTATTTAGCCTTTGTTTGAGCCCCAAAAGCCCCGTTTTTTAGGAGAATAGATTTTGTAATAGTGATTTTTTGGAGAAGATGTAGTTAAAAAGTAAGGAAAAGTTTTGGATTTCTGTGTATAAAATGTTAAAGAATGGAGCTCAAACAGGGGCTTAGTTTAGCATGTCCACTTATTCTCTTTTTATTGCATACTTACGTGAAGGAACCAAAAGAATGGATATGCCATGTCTGAGTTGATTTAGCCGCTGAAGCTGGATATTTTTATATCTCTACTCATCCTTGTTGTTGCGTCTCTGTAGTTTTAAAAATTGTTGAAAGTTCTTTCTTTCAGTTTTTGATGTCTTGTCCTCTTGTTGGAAGTTGGTAGCTGATGCAATTTTACATTGAACATTGTACTTTTGTAAAAGTGTTACCATCTTGCTTCTCTGTGGAGTTTGTTACTTTATTCCTGAACTACAGTTGATATTTTAAATCATATCTGCAGATTCTCCAGAACTATGAAGACATTCTGCGCAAGAACCAAATTTTTCTAGAGGATAAGAGCAAGTTAAAAAACATTCTAGGTGGACTGGTTCACTGCTTGTCGTTGTTGCCATGTAACAAGAGAGAAAATGACTCGTCATCTAAAAATGTATCCTCTGGTTAATTAATGCAACTTGCAAATTTTAGTTTTGTTAATTTTTAATTTTCTGTCATGTGATGTTGATAGAAAGATTTTCTCTTCCATGCCCCAATTCATATGCGTAACTCTGGAAAATGGAATATAGTTACCTTGATCATATTTGTGGACAAGAATGTGTTGGAATGACTACATGCCTATGTAGCAAATCTGATTCATGTAACTTCAAAGAGAGAACTGTGGCAGCAATCTTTTTGTCGAGCCCTCATCTGGACATGGAACCTGTAGCTAGATATATGATCTACCTATCTTGCTGAGTTTGGGGTGATTACTAAAATCAACAGCTGCCTTGTTATGCTTCCATGGATGAACTCTTTAAAAGCAACCATGTCACAATCTCACCACTTGTCATCCTCTCTCTCTGCCAATTAATGCATGTGCTACTCATTTCCTTTTCTGGACATCCCAATTAAAGCCCATTTCTTTAAAATAATCACTTGCTTTTGTTAATCTATCTCTTTAATATAAAATCATCTGACTTACACTTTTCATATACTGAAAGTTAAGACACTTGACTGATGACTTTTTATCTCACATAAAGGGCATAAACACCCTACCTTCTGACTCCTACTAAATAGTTGCTCCCTCAATGGAAACATTTAAATTGAGTGGAGGTGGGGAAGGAATGATTGTTCTTTCTTTCTTCTTTATAAGGTCATTTTTTCATTAAATATGCTGCTACTTCACGAATATCTTCTTTATCTTATGTCAGTGACTGCTGGTACTATAGTGAACAGAGCTGTCTATGTGTTGATGTGTTATTTGAAAATTTTATAGTTGTAGGTTAATCGGTGAGGTGTTTTGTCTCCTTTTTGTGAGCTGTTTCTTTAGATTGAATTCTTATACAAAGCTAATTTTTGTAGAATACTCCTGCTGAAGACATTCTCCATGCTTTTGAGCCTGAGGTTTCCAGAGAACCGACCAGTATGCACTTTTGCCTTTTTACTGTTATGATTTCTTCAAATTTTTACTCAACTTTCCCCCTAATTGGCATAATGTTCACGCATTTTTGCTTTCAAATCTTTTTTTTTTTTCTGTCAATTTTTTTCTCCATTTCTTCATTTGAAGGACTTTGACATCTTACTTGTGATCATCAATAACCTTGTTTGTAGGGTTTACTGGAGTTACCAAGAAATTGAAGGATCTTTTGCCCATACTAGTTACTTGTTTTCAAGATTACATGCCCATGGTTCACACAATTGCTCAGCTTGGCGCACCATTATTTGATAGTATGCTATTGATACTTCAAAGCATAGATCTTGTAGTCAAGTTTTTGGGTTGTGGGATTGGTAGAAGCCAACAATATACGCAAACCCTTCTACTTACTTTGCAGAAGCCTGACACAACTACTTACGATCAATTTATCTCACTAGCGATGCTAAAGAAGTTGTGGGATATTTTTCCCCTCAACTTAGTTCATCACCAATCAAAAAAGGTATAATAATGGCATTGTATGGACTACCATGGTTTATGAACTCCTTTGCGTTCCATATCTATCATGCAATTGAAAATTTCTTGCTGCTGTTCCTATTGAGGGCCAATTTATGCCCTTCTTCCCTCCGAGTTAATGTTTTGGTACATTTAAAATTGAACCACAGCTCACCACTATTAATCACTTCACACAACTGTGTGTGGCAAAACCAACTGCTTTGCTAGAGCAGTCCTACATCACCCTCTTCTTTGTTTGATCTGATTTAGACCTTGTTTGGTTTAGATAAAAATCAGATTTTAGTGGATTTTGATAAAAGTTGATGAAATGCTTGATTGAAAACTTGATGAAAGTTGTGGGTCCCATGAAATGTGTGATTGAAAATGAGTTTGAGGAAAAATGAGTTTTAGAAAATAGGAGCCAAACAAGGGCTTAGGAGTTTTGGAAAATAGGAGCCAAACAGGGGCTTAGTTTTTAATTTCCTAATAGTGATCCTTTTTCGACCATGTTATTGAACTCTACTACTAGAAACTATTTTTTGTGGCTAATCATTCTACTTTTTGCACTTCTCTATTTGGTATATGGATATTTTACTTTCTTGTTTTTTAGTAGTCAACTTGGCCATTGATGACTCTTGCTTATCTTCAAAGGAACATAAGTTTCTTTACTTTGTTCTATTTATGCCGTTGCAGGATGATGATCGTATCTTCATGCTGAATATTGTAATTACTGAAATATTTTTGCAATTAAGTAACTGGAACTACCCTTCCACTGCTTTGCTGGAAAAGTTTCTGGAATTCATTGAGAGATCACTATCTACAAAGGTTCATTTCTGAATTTCTGTTATTTGAATCTGTGAGTATATGATGAAAAAAGATGATTAGCTGATAATACCATGAAATGCTCTTTCTCCAAGCTTTAGCAACAATACTTTATTCATAAACCATTGTATGCAAGGGATATGGCCTTATAAGTCCTTGTTCTTTAAGTTTCTCTTTGTTGATCTGTTGAAGCTTCTCTAGTTATGTCATTAGTTGAAGCAGAAATGTATTTATACCACATAAAGTAACACAATGAACATTGTTTTTTGCAGATACAGTCAAATAAAGGGCTTAACGAAAAACACTTACTTCCACTAATATCATACATCCCAAAACTAACCATGGGAATTTCAGGTCATTGGAGATCTCGTATTCTCCAGGTTTGTTGATCTTGTGTCGGTTTATTTAATTGTTCAGTAGTTGCCTAACATGTTGCCTCAAATCATGCTTATTTTTCATCTTTGTTGGCTTTTTGACATTTGATAATCTAAATATTAGCCTTCTCAGGTTTTATATTATGTGACTTCGGTTCCTTGAATAATGAATTCTAAAGACGTAGCTTTTTTTTGCAGTCTTTTACAGAGGCTTTCATGAACTGCAATCCAGCGTCTTCAATGAAATTAGCTTGCCTTTCTACAATCAACGAAATGCTTGATCCTGTAAGATGTCTATTTCCTTGTTCAGGAAAAAGTTTTGGATTTGGTGATGTCTTTTCATATTAACTAGATTGCACTTACAATCTTACATATCATACAAGAATAAAGTTGGGATGTTTTAACATGATTTTCAATCAGCAATTGTTCTCTGGGTTATTCTGATGAAAGAACAACAAAAATTGGTTGAAACTTTAGGATCAATCTATGTAGACATAATATTTTACTTGTTTAATTCAATATGATGATCATAATCATATTCTCCACCTTAAGTGTATTTGAAGAGAGTTGTGGAGATGCAGTGGTGATGGGAGCAGGATGGTCTTTTAGGATCTTCACATTCATCACTTCCCATTTATATTGTGAAGAATAACATGCATCCAAGAAGAAACTTAAACGTGATAAGTAATTTTTTGCAGTGAATTGGATGGCGAATCAGATAATGTAATTGTTTTGTTATATTAATTAATCAGATTTATAGGGTAGTTATAACATAGTTTATTTTCTTAACTGCTGATGTTTCAAAGTGCACCAATGACAAGAATAGTGTTGCTGTTAGTCTGTTACTTTAAAGAGTTTCTCAGCTTTAAAGAGATAGAATAGTTCACAAATAGTTTGTTTATTATAATAATGGTTCTTGCAATTTTTGGAGTAAAAGAGCAAGTCTGTTTATCCTTTTTACCTTTTTATGTGGTACAATTCAGGTTTTTTTTTTTTCTCCCTTGGGAGGGAGTAGGAGGTAGAGGATTTTGTAGACTTGATTACATTTCTTTCTGTCACTTCAGTTCAATTTTATCAAAAGTGTGATCCAGTCTTTCACTCTGGTTTCTGTATTTGTTTGTCACCTCGACTTTTTGTCCAAGAACAGGAAAAAAACTGGCTATACATGGATGGAACTGATCCTACAATATTAGATTATCAGATCACTTGGATACGGGAGCTTGCTCCATTGCTAACTTTGTTAGGTGACAAAAACCCTACATGTTCCAAGGTATCTTCTTGCATTCAAGTGCTTGTTTAGACGCAGTCTCTAGTTATCTAGCTATCAAGCTTTTGCTGTTGCCATTGTCATATGTGGATGATTGCTATTCTTGCAGGCTGTGTTGAGCCTTCAACTTCGCCTGGGACAAGCTGCCCCTCCCAACTCTCCATTTTCTCAGGAATTCGACAACATGCAGTACATTATGAGAGACTTTTACAGTAGTCAGATAGATGAAAGTAAGGACCCTGCATCTAAAATTCTGATTCTGCTTTTCTTCATTTTATGGATTCAGTTTTGTGCGTCGGTAACTCACTGCTCTAATATTGTAGGAAGTGTATGCTATGGTCCATTCATAAGGCTTTCAGAAGATGTTCAGGAAATCTCAATATGTTGCCTTTATTATTTCTCTTTCATGGACTCACTTCTACTGCAGTCACTTGTGTCATGTTGCTTGTGTAAGTATTGCGTAACAGGTGTAAGATCTTTTGAATTCGTTATTTTAATGTTCCATGCTATAAGTTTTTCTGCTTTCGTATATCACCTTATGTGTGAGTAGCAATTTACTAGTACTTGTATTCTGACAAATATTAACATGTTTTACCTGTTCCATAACATCTTTTTGATCCTGAAACTTTTAAAGAGCGTCCTGTAATAAATTGGGTTACATAATTCTTTTTATACTGTTCAGTATTATAAATGTGGTTATCTGATCTTTTTCCACTGGAAATTATATTGATTCCTCTTATCAATGCAGTCTTCTCAAAATTTTGAAATCTTGGGTATTAATGTGACAGTACTCCAGAAAGCATACTCGAGCTAGTACGTTTCTCTTTGGTGTCTGTTCAGCGAAGCATGACTTATCTTCATTCTCCGACGGAGGTCTTTGTGGGAAAATAATATTCTCCAAACATTGATGTCAAAGTAGGAAGTGTTTTAGATTTTAGTAAGGCTCGATATTTTGTTTCTGTCTGGAAGTTTTTAAGGATGATTGTAATACCACTGGCAGTTAAAGAATTTAAAAGTTCCCGATGCTATCATATGCTCTATTTTGGGGTCTATTTGTGCTTTTTCTTGATTTCATTTATGAGTGCAAAAATATTTATGGGCAGTGCTTCTTGTGCATCTGAAGGAGCACAAAAATGTAGAGAATTTTTGTTGTTAAAATAGAAGGGTGGAAGATGTACATCATAATTTGGTCTCTGGAGTACGAGAATCTTTTACAGTTATCCATTCTCTCTCTGTTGTAAAAGTATTCAAGTGTTTCTCTGGCTATGCCACTGCAGGCCCTGATTTGGAGCCATCTTTACTTTTTCGAATCTTGGAGGTTCTGCAATCGGCTTATAGAGTTGGGCATATCCAAGTTGCTGACTACATTAGCTTTCTTGTCACTCTACTTTCGCGGTTCCAAGTTTATCCAGGTACTTTTAATTGAGTCTTCATTGCATGTCTCGTTCTAGTAGTATTATTGCCATTACCTTTTTGCTATTTATATTTTGTAATAGCTGTAGCATTTTAGAAGCTTTTCTAACATTTGGGTTCATTTTTTTTTTTTCCCCCCTTTATCAAGTAGTCTTGACGTTTGTCAACATACTGGTTAATATTTGTGCTTTACTTTTCCCTTTCCGGTTTATGTTGCTTTTCATCGTTTTCTTTTTGTTTTGGGGAGTGGCAGTTGAGAGAAGTAGTTCCTGACTGTTAGTTTATGATCTAGTTCAACACAATTGAGGAGTTTGAACAAGCTGTACAGTGTCAATTTCTAAAATTAGTGCTTGCATACGAGGAAAATTCTATCAAGGGAAAAACCCTGGACATTGGACCTCAAGAATCCATAAAGCAGGATATTGCAATTGTAAAAAAATCAAACAAATTTGAATAAACAAGACAAATACTTCCTGTTTGTGACTTGTCTGATTACTAATTGGAATCAAGAACCACAATCCTGAATTTATGCCAATTGCTGATTGTAACTGGATGGTTTGAATCTTGAATTGAAGCAAAACCTCATGTCCTTGCGTGCTACAAATTCAATGTTTATCCAAAGGATTTTGTAAGAAATTAAACACTTGTCTCAGTCAGGGAAGTGGTTCTGTGACAAATTGAAACCTTGGAAGCCAGATTTGATTGTGAAATTTCTCAAGTTCAATCTGGACCGTAGTTGCACTTTTAAACAGAATCTTGAAAGTTTGTAACAAGTATGGATCTTGAATTTGTCTATAAACAAAACTATATACTCCCTCGCATATGTAATAATATTATATTGTAAAGGCTATATGTGCAGGGAGAAAGAAAAACGCTTTCACCTGTATGCTCACCTATCTCCACTGTTTATCCAGTCTTAGAGAGTCATAAGCCAAATCTATCATGTCATTTTGGACTCTATATTTCAGTTTGAAATCTTTAAACAAAGCAAGGTTTGCTGCTATCTTTCAACAAATTTTCCTTTCTACTGATGTGAATTGAGAAACAGTTTTTATTCTTACTACAATCACTTATAACACACATGGGTTCCGGGCTTATCTAGTCATATGCAATACTCATGCATCAGTCTAGTGGGACGCTTAATCAACACAGTTAATTTTTTCAGGAATGTTGTCAAATAAATTTCACAAACCAAGGAGTTTAGGCATAATTAAGAAAGCCAATAATAGTTTAGTGAGCCAAACACATTAGAATTCTGCCCTGATAATTAAATTAGGTTTTTTGTTGTTGTGCTGGAACACTGTGATGATTGATAAGTAGAAATGTTTATGTCATGGTTATTAGGAAAAGTTTTGGTGTGTCTGTTCAACATTTTGGAACAGGTTCTTTAGCTTGGTGCAAGGCTTTTTGTTAGTCTTCTGTTGACATTAAAATAAGGGTTTAGAAGGCTATATGATATTTGTGAGTTCCAATGCATAGACAGATTTCACCGAAGTCAGGTTATTATATTTCCCTTTCAGGAGTATCTGATGTTTCCTTGGAAGAATCTTTCATAATTTTTCTGTAGGATTTTTCATTTATTTTCTCTTAATCTCTTTCTAAACTCACATTTTGAACTCATCTTTATTATGGTCCTTCAAATAAATATTGGATTGTGTTGCAGAAGAGACCTATCCTTTCATGAAGCATGAAGCAAGGTCAAATTGTGGGACTTATAAATCTGTTACTAGTGTTGTTTGCTCTTGCCTGTCCCAGATTGGTGATGCTCATCTCGTTTTCCAAATGCTGGAAAAAATAATTGTTGATCTGATTGTAAGTTCTCTCCATCTTCTTCTGCCCTTTCTTATTAGTGATTTTACTTCCCCATTGTTGTGATATACAGATTCTTGCTGTTGCTTTTCTTATGCTTCAGTGTGCCAAACAACCGGTGGATAATATGTGTGGTCTTCTCAGACTGCTGATTACGTTCGACTCCAAACCCTCGAGACTTTCTGAAGAGAGTATCATCAACATAAGTCACACCCTTCCAGAATACTTGATGGATATTGTATCTGTAAGTCATTTTCATTTATTTATTTTCTTTGAGATATATGTATAATATACCAGACTGACTGATCAAAACATTCATGCTGTAGTTTCTTTTACCTTGATGCTAGGATGAAAATTTTTGCAGTTGTGTTCAATTAATTGAAAGAAACCACTTCTGTTAGGTGCGATAGATATGGCATTTCCACAATTAATACACTAACTGGCTCTTACCACGAAATCTCTTGCTCCTATTAACATCAGCTTTTGTACAAATGGGTCGAAGTATGTGAGCGTAGAAGTGGCCAAATTCTAAAGAGAAGTCAATTTTGATGATCCAAGTCTGTCCCAAATTGAACTTCCATTTGATATTGTACAGGGTAATGTTTAATAGTTTATTTCATTTCTTTAGTTAAGCCTTCTCCCACTATAACATGACGGGGGTATAATCAGAAATTAGAAACTCAAAAGTGATTTGAATTTTTAGTAACCAGAATAACTTTAGAACAAACTAAAATACTAATCTAGAAGAATGAAATGGGACAGAGTGAGTAATTGTCAATAGATTATTTATTTAAATGTAGTGGGTAAACGTTGCGAAATAATGCTTGTATCTTAAAAACCTCATTTCAAGACTAAAAATTTCTTGTTTGGATATGAAAGCCCTACAGATGTTTCCTTTAAGGCCATCTAAATTCAAGTTGTACTCCTGCAGCTTTTCATAAAGAGCATCACTTAAGGGAGCATGCGCATGTTGCCTAGTTATCTTGACTGCACATAATTCGTTTCTGAAGTTGATGTAGCTCCTATCTCTTGTCAGGATTTTAAAAATTTATTTAATTTATCCTTGTGTCGGCAACCTCCAGTGCTATAATTGAATATCATTATTTCGATGCAGAATGACCTGGAAGATGATCACGAGTCCATTACTGCTATTAGTGTAAAGAGAAGAAAATATTACCTCCTGCCTCCCTTTATTCTGTTCCATAGGAGCAACAGGCTGTTGAGTCTTGTGTTAAATGTGATGGGGTCTTGGGTTTCTGAGATCTGTTCATTGCTTGCTAGCGATAGTCAGACTTCCTCCACAATTGATTCTTCAAGTAGGCTACGTGCCATTATCTCTATGCTCCTCCTTATGCATGAAGATGTCAAGATTCAACGAATTCTTTCATCGTGCGAGATGCAAATTAAGAATATATTGCAGAATCTGAGCACGTTACTCGTAAGGACGATAATATTCGTATCAAATGATATTTTATTACCTCGTATTCTGGATTGTATCTTGAAAATAACTTATAATTGGAACCGTAACGTCGTTCTTCATTTTACAGTCTTCTGTGGAGATCAAGTTGATGACCATAAGAGAAAAGCATAAGATTCAAAGTGCACACGATCAACTGAAAGCCATCGCCAGTAAATTATTCATAGACTCTCAGAACTTGGGAGAAACGGCATCAGCGAGTGAGAATATGCTGCAGCAGGCAGTATAGTGCGACTTAAAGTGATGTTTTTTTGAGTTTTTCACCTCATACATCTGCAATTTTGTATTTCTAGCAGATGTTACCTTTTTCCTTCTGAAAGCAAGAAAAGAAAATGTGTACAGCTAAAACAGCCACATCGATTGCAACATTCAGAAATGCATAGCTTTTAAGGTTAATTGTGAAAGGCCGTTGAACTAAATTCTTGGCTACGTCACTGCATTGTCTTATAGAGGTGCTTATTACATGAGCAAATAACTCAATTTAGACTTGGTAGACCATTTTGTTGTGGACAATGTGACAGACTTACAATGTGCTATTATAGCAATTATTGTGGTGCTTATTACATGAGCGAATAACACAATTTAGACTTGTTTGACCATTTTGTTGTGGACAATGTGACAGACTTACAATGTGTTTTTATAGCTCATTGTAACATAAATTATTTATAGAATTTCAAATGAAATTGTCGCTTGCATCAAACCGATCCAATGTCGATTTAAACGTCAAATTATTGTTCAAGAACTTTTTCTCATCGGACAAAAATAGTATGAACAATTTAGACGTATAAAAATGTGTCCACTCATACTTTCAATCCTCTTCCGTCCATTATTATTATTTTTATTTTTATGTGAAGTGTTTACTAACACTCAATGCTAAAATAAGACAAGAAGTGCTTATTTTCAAAATAAGATTGAAAAACATTACATAAAACTAAGCAGACCAAGCAAAATATTCGAGATTATATTGGATAGTACTAGACGAAGTTGAATCTCACTATTTTGCATACGAGTAAGGGTGACGATGTATGGTGGCTCTAATTTCTTGTTCACTTTGACGTCACAACGAACTATGCAAGCAAGTACTTTGGTAGACCTTTAACACATTAAATTGTATTTTACATTTGAATATGAGTTGATTTAGGATTCTTAGATTTGGTGTCGAATTGTTGACTTGTTATAAGTAGTTGGATTGTTGTTGTTTGATTTTTTTTTTTTTTTTTTTT